TGAGGGAGGCAGTCTTGGGTTAATAGGAGGTGTGTCAATAGTTGTATTTTTAGGAGGTAGTCAAGTTTTGGGGGTCGTCCCCGAAGCTTTAGCACAAGAGGACATCTTTGGAAAAACAATTGGAGAGGAAATTCAGGTCTTCACAATGTCGGCTCGAATGAATGCAATGTTTAACCATGCTGATGCCTTCATTGCTTTACCAGGTGGTCTAGGCACATTGGAAGAGATCTTTCATATTTCCTCTTGGGCTCAATTGCACATTCACCATAAACCCAAAGAGATCTTTTATATTTCCTCTCGGGCTTAACTACACATTCACCATAAACCCATAGGTTTGTTAAATGTTAATGGTTATTATGATAAATTGTTGTCTTTTCTTGATCATGCCGTGGAATAGGAATTTCTAACATCTTCTGCACGACAAATCATAATCTCTACTACTACTGCTGAATAATTGATTGACCAACTGCAATCTTTCATTCCTGTAATTGATCCTTCCATGAGTCGCATAAATTGGTCACCTAAGGAAAGCCGTAAAAAGCTTAGATTGGATTTGAGCCTTCATTTGTGAATCTTTGTGTCTTTTGGTTTTATTATTGTGTTTTGTTGTTACTTTTATTTGTTTCCATGTGTTTCAGGTTTGTCAGTGTTCGTTATTTCAAGTGATATCTTCTATACTCTATCTTTCTACCTTTAAACATTGAGGACAATGTTTTGTTTTAGTTGGGGGGAAGGGCAGTAGCTAAAAAAAAAAAAAACTGTGTTTTCTATTTTATAAAGCATGTGCATAATTGTTGTTACTAGGATGGCAGAGTAAAAGAGCTCTTTTGTTAAAGTGACTCTTGAGACGCATCTTAGTAACCATTCTTAACAAGGTCTATTATAATACTTCCTGAAATATTCAGGTTTACAAACTCTCGTATTGTTACCATTGAAATATTCAGATTTACAAACTCTCGCATTCTTATCACTTAATTCTGCTCATATACGTATTTAACATGTATTCTTAAACCTTAATTTTCACACACACACTTTAACATATGATTGTGGGTTACATATTGGATTATTACATTATTTTTGTTCTTTTGTTAAAGGTAACAACTAAGGGAAAGGGATTGTATATAATTTAACAAAAAAGAAAAAAAAGGAAAAAAAGAAGAAAAAATGATAATAATAAAAATGTAGACAAGTTTGGTTTCGTAGCCTCCTTAACCTAAGCAATTAAGCCCGAAGGGGTGTTTTAACACCTAATACCCTAAAGTCAACTAATTTGGGAGCTATTGGCCCAATGCTTGTTACATGGGTTGAGGAGAAAAGCTTAAGGGAATCAAACATTGCATTATCTACATACTAGTATCTGAGACCCGAGTTACTAAGCTCGTAAGGGTGTCTTAACACCTAATGCCCTAAGACCAACTGGTCTGGGAGTCATTAGCTGAAAGCTCGTTACATGGGTTAAAGATGCATGATGGTTTTAAATTATATGTATACATATTTAAAAAAAAAGAAGAAGAATAAAAAAAGACAAAAATAATAATCCCAACCCAAGGAAGTTAACCTTAACCATTAGAACAAAAATTTTGTTTTCTTCTAAGAAAAGCCCCATAATTATGTGTTGATACATTGAGCACAAAAGAAAGGTTTATGAATATCCTGTTAAGAGATATTGAGCAGATATATAAATTTAATGAGAGTCTGTTTATCTGGATAGATTAATGGAAGTTAAATGATGAATACCTTGCTTTGTGGAATTTGCAAATTGTTTTTCTATTTTAACGCTTTGATTATTAAGGACTAGTAATAAGCTGGTTGGGGGGTGTGATTAGTACTTAAAAGTGTATTTTTATCAAGGTTTTATATCATCATTTTGCACTTGAAGTATTAATAACTCTTTAACTAAAGCGTGTTTTATAATAATATATCTAATAATATAAGATACCTTTAATTTGTGGTAAATGTTCATTTTAAATGCAGGCCTATCACATAAATGAAAGGATTGATTGATGAATTTAAGAACTGAAATTGAAAGGATAAAGAGATAACCAAATTTAGAAAAGAGATGTCGGTGCAATCCAAACTGGAACACTATTCGGTAATTAGGTCATATCTGGAGCTATAGATCTCAGATTTAGGTCTATTTTATATGGATGGAAAAGTAAGACATAGGCTTACAACTTTCATATGGAGCCCAAGATCTAAAAAGGCTATTTTCAAGTCCAAATTGTAGCAACAACAAAGAAGCTCAAATCTGTCCTTCAACCCGAGTATTGTTCAGTATTTTGGTCATATCTGGAGTTCTAGAAGTCAAAATGAGCTGCATTGTTTACAGAAGAAAACTGAGACAATTTCCTACAACTTTCATATTTTCTAGTGGCTCTAATTTTGACGTTATCAATGACGTTTTGGGCAAACAAGAGAAGATAAGGATTGTCACCAAGTCAAGAGTTGGTCACCCACTCATCAATTAGTCATCAAATCAATAGTTCCCAATTTTGACCTATAAAAGGAGGCATTTTCCATGCATTTAGGCATCTTGGTTTCTAGATCAAGATCATGCTCTTGCTTTCTCTCTTTGTATTTTTTGTAATATTTATGCTTTGCTTTCATTAATATCAAGTTTATGCCTTTCATTTACTTAGTTAACTTTAATCTTATTCATGTTCTTATTTTGTTTATTTATTTTTCTTTCTTTCATTATATCTAGCTAAGTTTATTATGTCAAGGTGAAAAGATTACACTAATGGTGGAAGAATAAGTATAGTATAAATTTAATATGGACTTTAATGTTTGATACTAACATATTTTATATTTGTTATCTTGTTCACTTTGTAATACTTTGCTTGTTAAATGACTAATCTTGATTTATGTTGTATAACACTTGGTACAACAAATGCTTGGCACTTTCATAGCCCATACTGTATGGTATAACCGACACCTGAGCTATGAAAGGAACTTGATTTGTTGTTAACATAAGTTATAATCATGAATGCTTGACGAGATTTACAAGTACTAACATTAATCGAATAAGATGACTAATGTAATCATGTTAACAATCTATAATCTGATTGGAACCTTCTTTATGTGTGGTTTCCAATTGAATAATAAGAGTTTATACTATACTTGTTTGACATACCATTAGTGGAACCTCTAACCTTGACATTTGTTATTATCATTATTTAATCCTTATGTTAATTTTTCCATCTCAAAGTTCTCATCAACTTCTTCTTTTTCTTCTTCTTCTATTATTATTATTATTATTATTATTACTACTACTACTACTATTATTGTTGTTATTGTTATTATTGTTGTATTATTGTTATTTATAATTTGTACAATTAACCTCTATGTGGTTCGACCCCGGTCTTGCCGGGTTATTTATTACTTCGACACTCCTGCACTTGGAAGAAAATATCAATCTTTTAGTCGTGTCACCTGTGTTTTTGGCAAGTAACAATTGTAAACCGTGTTATAGTCTTTTTACATTGAACTGTACGAGTTAATGCGTGCTCTTAAGATGAAGAATATCTCTGGGAAGACAGAAGCAGGGAGCTTCGTATTATCATGGTTAAATACTTGGTCTTGGTGTTCAAGAGAATGTATTTAAAGTAATGTTAGTGTATCGAAGTAGAAAGTATAAATTATTTGTTCGTAACTTTATTTTTTTTATTTTTTAGTTTTTAGTTAAAAAAATAATTGAATTCTTATATTAAATTTAAAAAACCTCGATTAACATTAATTGTAGCCATTAAAAAATAAATATTAATATTAATAAATTATATTTGATAAAAAAATCTTATTTAAGTGTTTTTTATCATTCATATGGCATGAACTTGTAGATACAAGTTTGATAAGGATTTTATTTTTAATTTTAGGCCTATGATTGTTATTTGAAGTTATTTATAGGTTTGTCACTTTATTGAGGTATATAATTTTTTTTTAAATACTGCAAGTAAAAAAAAAAGTTGAAAATTAAGTGTTTTTTTCCATAAAAATCATAACCCCAATTTTCATCAACCCTCCATTTGCTTGGAACTAGAACAAGCAATACATCATACATGGAACACATTACATGTTTTTTTATCAAAAAAAAAAGAAGAAGAAGTTGTTCATCCTTTTTTAAGGGGAAAAAAAAATCAACCTAGCCACATGGCCCTACATTGATAGGCCTCTTGCATTGATATTTTTTGTCTTTTAATTTTTTATTTTATTTTTATTATTTAAAATTGAATTATTTATTTATTTATTTATTTCATTTTAAAAAAGTTTATGATGCTTTTTTTATAAGAATATGATTTAATTTTACTTAATTTATGAATAAATTCTTAACATTTTTTTATATTAGGAGGTTTTTTTTTTGTGTAGCTCTATTTAATTTTTTTCTTTTTTTAAATATTAAATAAAATAGGAGTGGCAAAAAATAAAGTTATTATATACAATTGAGTCTATATTCTGGGTTTGAATATCAAATCTCTACATTAACATCTATTACTCATCTTTTCCATTTAACCTTTGATTAAATATCATTTAGTTTTTATTTGAATTTTATATAAAATGATAATATTTTATTCTAATATGTACAATCTTACATAATATTTTTATTTTATTTTATTCAATAATTTTTATGTGTATATATATTTATTATCATTTGATTAAATAAAAAATTAATTTTAATAAACAAAATTATTAAATACAACCGATTAAATAACTTGTATTACCATATCAAATATATTTATCTATATTTGTATATCAATTTTTTTCATTTCAGTTTGAGTTATCATTGACAATTTTTTTTCTTTACATTTACTAGCACAAATAATTTTCTTTTAGATTTATTATTAGAAAAAGCCTTTATATTCTTCATTTTTTTTGTTAAAAAAAATATATGCGATAGCTAGATCTTGTAAATCACCTTCTGTGTCTGTTAAGTTCTTCTTAACTTAAATTAGATAAGCTAGTATTTTATATATATACATATATAATTTCAAGAGATAAACTTCCCATACTGAAAAGTTTCAAAATGAAAATTTGCCTCATCGAACATTCAATAATACATGTTGTTGAGGCTAAAGCGCATGTCCATCTTCAGCTATCTACAACTCGTTCCAAAGTTCCTTTGTAATCTTTGCCAGTGTCTTCAGTAGCATGATGCTCCGACAATATTGACCAAGTGAGAGGGTAACAAGTATACAAGTACCTGTCTATTTCCATGAGATTACATGAAGATTTGCTTGAGTTATAATCTATGAACAAGGTTGTAGAAATTTGATGTCAGAGACTTCTCCAGAGGCAGTGCCGACAACAAAGCCAACTACTAGCAATCAGATAAATGCTTTTCAAGCAACCATATTTGATGCTTGATAATAAATGACGACTCATTAATTGCATTTAGTCTTCAACCTTGAATCACATTTGCGATCAACAAAAGTCAGCTTGTCCTAGTTTAGAAGCAAAAAAAGCAGAATCGAGAACAAGAAAACTCTTTTCTTGGGAAAAATATGAGATAGTATCATGTTGGAAAAGACTGAACCAGAAGCCCAATGCATAATAATAACTCTTAACGCTTTTCTCTTCAATATCAACATATTCGAACAAAAATAAGTTGAGATGTTACAACATTTCTGGCCAAAGAGAATGCTGTATGTATTTGTCTCATTAATGCCTACCTAATGGTTTTTATAAACCAAATGAACAAAATGGATCTAAACCCACCCCTCTGACTTCTAGCGCTGCCATATTGCTCAGTTCCTAGATGTCAGCAACAAAAGCTGTCCTGCAGTTCATCAGCGTGAGATGGTATAAGCATCAAGATTCAAAACATTGTGGAGGAAACTAATAAACCTGCAAGCAGCCTAAAACGATGGCCAAAAGAAAAATAATAAAACAAAAGGGAAGAAAAATAAAGATAGTGATCTTCTACTAAGAACATTATAGCTAATATGAGCAGCACAGCTATCGATTATTTGTTGCTTCCCTATACTGTACTGAGAAAAGAATCTCTATTGATCAAAAGGATTAAAGTGGCATAGTAGTTTTTTTGGCTTCAACAGAGTGCTCTAATTTGAATATTCAAAAGAATGTATTCGATTAGCATGGAGAGAGATGGAGAGAGAGATTTAATTACCACAAAAGACATATCTTTTATGCGTTTGCCTTGTCATCAAGATGATGTCAAGCAAGAACACCCTAAGAGGGTCAAATTCAGAACCACATTATGTTGTCAGCTTTACTGAAAAGTGACAATATCTCTATGACCAAAGTCTACCAAATAAAATGCCACTAAAAACAATGGCACCAAACCATTTGTTTGACACAAATCTGCAGCAAGAAAACAAACGCAATAGGAAGTAGTGAGTTGATCATATTACAAGCTTGAAAGTGGTTAAACGAATCATTTGAAGCACAAATAATGCTTTGTGGAATCATGAAACTCTTATGAGCTATAGACATACTTTCTATTGCAATCAGCCCGGCATGATAGGTCAACCGTCCATATTTGCCAAGCTAATTGACCCGAAGCAGCTGCCAGAAATGCATAAAATGACCACCCTGCTCGTGTTTTGTAAGGAAAAGGAGAAGAAAACGCAGATTACCATGGGCAAAACTAAAGTAAATGGAGCATGTACATCAGAAGCATAAAAAGCAAATACCAATATCCGCATTGAATCCACAGAGGGCAAGACTACTAATGCATGCAGTTCCAAACCCAGTGATCCACTCCTTTGTTGAATCCCCAAATCTCAAGGCCGTTGATTTAACACCCACTTTAAGATCATCTTCCTTATCCTTCATAAATATCAAGGTTGATTTTAGAAGAGCACAAAAATACAACACTCTGCAAACTATGAATCAAACAAATTTAGTACACGACCTCAAAAAGACATGGAGAGCAGAACACCGCAAAAAGAAAGAAAGACATGTTTATATAAAAATCAAAAAACAAAAACCCATCACCTAAACTATGACAATTTTAAGTGGAAAAATATGAATTATTTGAAACAATAAAAAAAGTGGATAAACTGCAAGTTGTTTAAAACAGAATAATCTGTGAAGAAGGACAATATAGGCTGAAATAGAAAACTGATAAACCTTGTAAATCAGAAACAGCAGTTATTCAAAATAAGCCATCAAGTTAATAAAAAATAAACATGAGAGAGAGAGAGAGAGCATTCAAAGCTCCAAAATTACAACAGTTTTAATTACTGCAGCGGCCCATTGTTGAAAGCTTTTTGCACAAAAGAATGTACTATAACTCTAGGAACACCAAGAAGCATGGGCAGAAAACGAAGAGGTTTCACTTCACACAAGGAAAAAGCGTTAGAGGGTTAATGGAGTCTTATTATTTACAGTTCAGGAACCATATATTACATGGTATAGCTGGAAAATAAAGGGCTAATGAAAATCACCTTAAGCTATGATGCTATACCTGATGAGCATATACTGTATCATACACCAGGGTCCACAATACTCCACTAGCATATAGTGGTACCACAATAGCTGGATCCAGACTCCCCTTAACTGCAGACCAACCCAGTAAAGCTCCCCAATTGAATGTTAAACCAAGATATGCTTGAGGCTGCAACCAAAAAATCGCATTTAACAGGGTCATCACCAGAGTTTATTGAACTTTACATCAAAAGTCAAAAAGCAAAAAAAACTTGCGCGCACATGAGAATACAGAAAGCAAATAGATAAAAATCTTTACCCAAAATGTAAATCTCTTCATAAGGGGATATGAGAAGACTAGCAACAAGGATGAACCTCCCAAAATACGGCTGTTAGAAGAAAATAAAGTAACAGTTAACCCAAATAATTATGCATGCTCAATGCAAGGTGACAACATTGAATTTGAATAGCTTGCAAACTACATGCAACTTCTAAGCGTGATTGAAGCAGCACTAACCTATAATTATTCAGTTGAAGAAGAATCCCAAGACCCAAAAACAATTGAAAACCAAGAAAACAAAGCCCTCGAAATGGCGTCAAAAGACCACTGGCAACTGGCCTTAGCTTTGTCCTTTCGACCTACACACAAAAATTCCAACAAAAATAGTTACATTTTTCAAAAGGTGAAGCTGTTAGTCTAATTTTTTGGAGATTTTCTTGCCTAATTATCGAAACCAAAATTCACAAACTTTATTGCATACACGAACAAGACGAGCAATTACAGCTAACGAAAACATCAGTATCTCATTTAGCAATACAGTACGCAGTTTCATAAAAACCTTACCTTCGTATCAATATCTCTATCTAGCAAATCATTTATAGTACACCCAGCTCCTCTTAAAAGCAAAGCCCCACAACCAAATAACGCCATCATCTTAAAGTTAGGTACACTTCCAGGTTCTGCTGCCAATGAGATTGACCTACATAACAAATTAAAAATGTTACAAAGATCCTAACACTTTCGCAAAATTTCTCAAATTCCTTCATTTTCTTTTCTCAGCAACGAAGCAAAACCCAGAACAATTAACACAATAAAAACACAAATCCTTACCACATACAAGGCCAAGCAAGAAGCCAGGTCCCAATGGGCTTATCAAGCCTAGCTAAATGTGCATAAGGCCTGACTTGTCTAGGCAAATAGACATCAATCCAAGACTTCTCTCCTCTTTTTGGCAACTCTCCATTGTTTCGCTTCTGTTCTTTCTCTTCTTTTGTGCTTGGAATAGTGGAGATTTCCTTGATGAAGGTTAAATAAGGGCTAGGAATTTTATTTTGGCGGGAAAACTGAGCGAAATGGTGAAGTACATAGTGGTGATAGATAAAATTAGGGCTAGGGTTCGATTTGGGGATTACGGTGGCGGTTGGCAGAGAGAGTGCGGACGACAGGATCCTGGTGGCGCTACAGGAAGCGCGACGGAGTAAAAACGACGCCATTTTGAGGAGAGAAAGCTCCAGTTTTGAAATGGTTAATTTATATGGCGCAAAATTTGACCTTGTTAGGCTTCTTACCCGCCTAGGATCCACATCTGTAGCACCTTAGGTTGGTGTTTGTAGACTATTCAACCCAACTCATGATGACTCGGGCTCGAGTAAAATCGGCTTGGGCCCAGTTTTCCCTGAGTCAATAAAACCTGACCACCACAAATATAAAACTAGGCAAACGGCTCAGCTTATAATTATGTAATTATTTAATTCTCCAGTATGCTATTATATTTTTCTTATTACATTACACTATTAACTAAAACATCTCTGTATTGTAGCATATAATAATATGAAGCAAGACGCAGTTTAATGTGCATTGCATCCACAACAAAGTATAGTATGGTCTTTTACCTTTTTATTTTTTTATTTATTTAATTCCTATAATTTTAAGTTTCTAAGTTTTAGTCCTAAATTTTATTTTTATTATGACCTGATTTTTAGGTGTCGAGGAGAGAAAGCCATTAAAAAAAAAGAGAAAAAAAAAAATTTTGAACAATCGCATTTTTATTATAAAAAATCAATCATCGAATCAATAATTTTTTTTCAAGAAAAGAATGCAATAAAGATACTGTTGTCTTTTAAACACACTAAAAAAGTGTGAAAGGGCTCATTAAGGTTTTTATTATTTGATTTGATTCTCAATTTTTAGATTATTAAAGAATATTTTGGAGCTGGAAATTAGGTTATTGAGATTTCTATAATGTTTTTTGGGTTTTTCAAATTAAAACAAGTTGAAATTTGAATTTTTGGATTCCAACATTGATTTTTCAAACAACAAAAAATGTTTTAGTGGGTGACACATCATTTACCAATCATACAACAGGTTATCTATTCTTTTTTTATAAATACTACATACGCCTAGTCTTTTTCCTTTTAAGTCATGCATGTCTATAGGCTTTTTTGAGATTATGTTAACAGTTGCATTTCAAAGTATTTTTTTACTTATAAATATATTAAAATAATATTTTTTTTCATTTTATAAGTTGTATAGGGTTTGATTAAAATGTGAACTGGTCGACTTTATAAATAAAAAAACTTGGAAGATCGATAAAAATATAGTTTGATAAAAAAAACTCAAAATAATATATTTTAAAAAATATTAAGATGACAAAATATTATATTAATTTGGGTCAACTCGAGGTAACTCTTCAAATTTGTGATCTAACTCATGAGATCTAAATAAGTCTATAGAAAGTAAATCAAACCAAATCATGAACCATAATTCTCAATTAATCTAATATTGAATAATAAAATCTTAAAATTTTCAATTAAAAAAGACAAAAAAAAGTCCTAAGTCAACCCAGGTTAACCTGTCGAACCAGTGACAAAGGCATTAGACCAGGATAACTTAATAAAAAATAAATTAAAACAAATCATAAAATCTAATTCCTAATTAACATGATGTTAAAGTATGAAATTAAAAAAATATATATTAAAAAAAAAAGATCCAAAAAAGTGACCCAAGTCAACCAGGTTGGTTAACCCATCAAATTTGTAACTCAGGTTATGAAACTAAAATAACATTATAAAAATAAATAAAAAAAAATTATTAAGTATAATTCTCAATCAATCATTGAATGATGAAATATAAAAAAAATAATTTAAAAAAAGATAAAAAACTTGAGTTAGTCAGGTTAACCCATCAAACTCACAACTTAGGTCATACTGTCAAAATAATTTAATACAAAGAAAATCAAAATAAATTATTAAGCTCAATTTTTAGTAAATCAAGTGTTAAAGAATGAAATTGAAAATTAAAAAAAAAATCCAGTGAATAGTGATATGTGAGGAAGGGAACAATAATTCCCTCCCCTCAATTAATTCTAGTTAACTAGATTATTTAAATGTGTTACACTGAGAGTCAGATGAAATTTTTAAAAAACTGTTAAAAATATTTCTAGACATTGCTAATTTGTTTCAAATAAGGAAAGAAAAACAAATCATGTAGGGATTAACCCGTCAAGTCAATCAAGTTAACCCATCAAATCCATGACTTGAGTCGTGATATTAAAATAAATTTATAGAAAGCAAATTAAAATAAATTATAAAATTAAATTATTAATCAATAGTCGAATGAAGAAATAGAAAAAAAATAATTAAAAAAATCAAGTTAGTCGTGTTAATCCACCAAACCTGTAACTTGGATCATGATACTAAGATAACATTATAGAAAAAAAAAATATGAAGTTCAGTCTCTTGTAAACCAAGTATTAAAGGATGAGATTGAAAATTAAAAAAAATATATAGTTTTAGTGAATATTAATTTGTGAGGTGAGGAAAAATGATTTCCCCTCCTCAATTAGTTCTTGTTAACTAGATTATTCATTTGAACTATGCTGCAACTCAAATTATTTTTTTTAAATATATATATATAGATTGCTAACATGTTTTCAAGAAGGAAAAAAAATTAATTGTGTAGGGATTGACCCATTGTGACTCGTTCAACTTGACAAGTTCAAACGCAACATGGATAATTTGAATAAAAAAACATAGGTCGACTAAAAAGATTTTCAAGATGACATTTAAAAAATATATTTATTGAGATGACAATATATTAAATTAAAATTGATCAACCCAAGTTAACATATAAAATCCATGACTTGAGTATTGAGATTGTGATAACCTTGTAAAAAGAAAATAAAAAATATAATAAAAATTAATTTTCAATCAACCTAATTTTGAGAAATAAGATTTTGAAAGTGAATTAAAAAAAAACTCAAATCAACCTGGATCAACCTACCAAACCTAGATAATGAGACTAGAGTAATGTTTGGAAACATGGCTCAAAGGTTGTTTGGCCAAAAAATTGATTGTTTCTTAAAATTAATTTTTGTTTTATATTTTTGAATTTTTTTAATGTGTTGATGTCAAAAATAAATTTTAAAAGATAAAATAAAATATTTTATATATTTCTGAGTAAAAAAACATTTTGAAAAACAAGTGCTACCACAATATCAAATGCTGCCCAAGGATATCTCAATAGAAAAAAATTAAAACAAATTATAAAACTCAATTCTCAATCAATTTAATATTAAAAAGTAAAATTAAAAAAAAAAAAAACAAAAAAGGACCTAAAAACGCTGAGTCAACCTTGGTCAACCTATCAAACTCTTGACCCGGGTTATAAAATTAAAATAACCCTATAGAAAAAAAAATTATAAAATTTAATTCTTAATCAACCCAAATATTGAATAAAAAAAATTTAAAAAATAATTATAAAAAAACATTATAAAAACCTGAGTCATTTAGTTTAACTCGTAAAACTTGTAATCTGAATTATAAAACTGAAATAATTTTATATAAAATAAATTATAAAACTTGATATCTAATAAATTTAATGATAAATAATAAAATTTTAAAAAATTATTTATTTTTTAAATCAAATAATATCCGGTTTAAGAATAACATGGGAGGGGATGAATAATGATTTCCCCTCGCCAATTATTCCTGTTAAATTGTACACACAAAGTTTTATGAAATTAAGCAAACATTGACAAATAGCTATTTTGATAATTATTTCCATTTACAATCTCTATTAAAATCCTTAATTACTCGAGGAAACCTCATGTCCATGTTGTAGAGGAATTGCAAGCTTGGGAGCTTTTAGGTAGAGTTACTGTACCTTTATTTATAAAGGATCAGATGACCTATTTCGTTAATATTACATATTTGCCATTGAGCTTGAAGCCCCACTGATGCCACATGACGATCTAGATAAAATAAGGTAAGCAGAATTTCCGTGCGGCATGAGGCAATTTTTAGTTGGCAATTTTTTTTTTATTTTTTCGAGACTTGACAATGACAAGAGGACACAGGGAGAGTAGTTGATGTCTGATCCGCATATGATGCTCGAAAGATAAAAAAACATTCGTCTTCTGGATAAATGCGGATTACAGAAAAATCTAGATCAAATGGTCTATTTTGTGGAACCAGGGATGAGGATTCTCTAATCTCTAGGTTATCTTTTGATCTCGATCCATCCCATGAACTCGTTTCGCGTTCTTCTAGTAGCTTCATGCTCTGAAGAAACACTACGATCCAGCACCAAGCAAACTGTCAACCTGCAGACATACAGAATCTAGCAAACGAAATGTAAGAGCAATTGATAAGAGGATGAACTCCGAAAGAGAAAGCAGCACTTTATGTTGTCACCATGACCAGAAACGACGAAGAAAAAGAACAGGGAAAAGGTTATTTATTGAAACACCATTCACCCCATCCTCATCTATCTGTGGACATTGATGAATGGAGAATATTGAGGGAGATGCACTTCGTTTTTTCCATCATATCATTAAAACTGACAGCATGTTTTCTACACCATAATCTCCGGCTGACGAAAGTCTCCCGATGATTCAAATTCTCGTAGGACAGTTTCTTACGCCGGTGTTTACTTACTGTTTCGATAGAGGAGAAGATGTGCTCTCTCCGTTGAAAGAAACTGTCTTGTAAACAAATTTATTTTTATACAATCTTAATCTCAGAAAATATTATGATAAAAAATAAATGTTGTTTTTACACTAGTCATAACAAAATATACTGTAATAAGATCGATGGTCATAGTATCTGTTAGGGAAAAAGAATTGCATCCCAAGCAAAAAAGTAACACCGAGGACGGTGATCTTTAAGAGTACAAAAACAGCAAGGGGAGGCTAGTTCATCGTTTCACAAGTTTTTTACTAGGTCTTCATCCTGAGACCTAAACAAAAGCCTACTCCCTTGAATGTATTGAAGAGTAATCTAAGCACGGATCCACAGAGAAAAAAAAATGAAAAACATGCATTTGGCCCACATTTGAGATGGAGAAATCCAACATCTGCTTACATGTCGGGAACATGGATCCATAACGTGAAGCATGATTGCATGAATTAAATGCTGACAGCCTAAAACTATTTTACGCAGTAACGATAGAAGATTAAAAGCATTGATTTGAAGAACTGGCACAGCCATTTACATATCATTTTCACAAGTCATTTGTTAGGAACT